TTATTTTTTTGGCTTGTGCCTCACTATAAAATAATATCACTGCGCAATTACACACCAGAAGAAAAGTCGGCCGTCTTGTAAAAGTGCTCGTCTTCAAAAGATGACATGAGATCATCTCCGAAAAAACATATCTTTAAAGAAAACTTGATTGGCATTGGAAATCTTGTGTCTTTTTTCCTGTGTGGGACACTTCCGCTGCCCCCACCTGCAACACCTGCGCCCTCGCCCTCTCTTTGACACCCAGCGCGGGCACACACACACACAGCATAGCTAACGCACCACAGGTGTCGGCCGAAATAGTTAACAATAAAAAGAAAATTAAACAGACGAAAAAAAAAGGAGCCCGGAGCACCAGCATAGTATACTGCGGCTGTGGCGGCAGCAGCCACAGCTCGGCGGCAGGAACCTCTCAAAGTATTAGCGGTAGAGATCTCTCTCTCTCTCTCTCTCTCTCTCTCTCCCTCTCTCCGCTTTCTCTCTCCCTTTCAGCGCTACCACCTCTCTCTCTTTTTTCCCCTCTTCTGTAGGCCACATACGACCGCACCAGGAAAACATGTATACAGCATTAGAGACACTGTACATACGTGTGTGTGAGAGTGTGTGTGTGTGTGTGTGTGGGCGTGTGTGTGTGTGGTGAGGGGGGGGGGGGCGATCACATCCCGAGCGCGATCTCCCCGCTGCAAACACACCTACCTACACACCGGACACGTTGTATTTCCAGGCGAATGAGAGTATGCCAGTGGTACATGCGTACGCACATGCGGGTCCACAGCAACTAAGCTTCGCAGGATTTATTTCCAAAGCCGTCAACGAAACGTATATCGACAAGCCGGGCTGGCCAGAAGCTTCAGAGTCCCGCCGTTGTGCCTATAGCTGCGCGAATTAGGCAGGGGGGCAAAATAACAGGAAGACGAGGCTGATTCGCGAAACCAGCCTCGAAGCAACAAAATCGGATCTATATATAGACTCAACGGGCTCTATAGAGTGGCCGTCCGTTTGATGGGTTCGTTGAAACAGAGAGCAGCAGTGAGATGTGTGTTTGTAGGAGGAAAAAATCCGACAAATCACAATAAGGGGGACAATTAACTAATATCAAACGAGAATTTATTTGTGTGCGTTTTGCTTTGAGCCGGCCGCACTGCCATGGACTACCCCCCACCCCCCTCCTTTTCTCCTCTTTCCGGCTGGACTCTCTTTTCACAATTTCCCTCACGTGCGGCGGCGCCTGCAAGTTTGTACCAGGTGGAGAGGAAAACTGGCCGGGAAGAGGAGAAAGAGCAAGAGAGAGGGAGAAAGGGAGAGAGGGGGGGGGGGAGCAACCACGTGAGAATGATCATAGGCTGAAAAACAATTTATCTTCAATGTGGATTTCGATGGCATGAGTTTGGCAGGCCGCACGATGCGTCCGCAGGTGGTGGTAGAGGGAAAGAGAGGGGGGAGGGAGAGAGAGAGAGAGGAGTGGGGGAATAGCGGCGTGGTCAGGTGCAGCGCAGCACCCCTCTCTCCCCAAGGGCTAAAGGGCAGCGAAGCAGAAGACGAACCGAAACGAGGGAGAGAGAGAGGGGCAGAGTGAATGAGATGGGAAGAGAGAGAGAGAGATTCGCAAAGAGACGGCAACAGACAGTGAGGGAGGCATTTGCGGGGAAGTGAGAAAGAGCAAACTAAGGATGGCGTCCGGTAACGAGCAGATAATAAAGTCTTTCGGAGTAGAGACCTAAGCTATGATGGAAGAGACAGAGAAGGAAAGTGCAAGCGAGTCAGAAAGATACGCGAGACTGCCGGCTACCTAAAGAGTTGAAATCGATAAGCGGTATCCTACCATCCTACAACTATTCTCACAATCGAAAAAGGGGGAAAAAAAGGAAAACTAAGGTCGATTTATAGGGACAAACGCTTGTCGAAATGTAAGAGGAAAGTGCGTTTTCGCGCGGTTTTGCGACAACAAGTTGAGTAATTGCGCGACAGATCGCTTGCGCGCCGGCACCGCACACCGCGATCCGTCATCCCGTCTGCGTGTCGGTGACGCGTCGGTGACGCGGCCTTTTGTCGTTCTTATCCGCCTCTCGGTCCACCCCCC